CTCTGGCAGTAAAAATAAATATTGAAAAGAAAAAGACCATGCTATTCTGAAAAGGCTTATAGAAACGGGAGATGGTCATGCTGCAGTTCATTCTCCTCCACGCTCCCCCCTGGGATTTTGTGCACACATGCACACGTGTCTGGCATAATTCTCAAGCCGCTGGATCTGGGACTCAGACCATGGTCAGCCATGTGAGAATCCAACATCTTCATTTATTTATTTATTTATTTTTAAAGAATTATTTATTTAATTGTATTTATTCATTCTTTTATTTTAATTTGACCAGAGAGAGACAGAGAAAGAGAGAGGAAAAATGAGAAAGCAAGCCACCAAGTCCAGAACTCAAACCGTGGTCAGCCATGTGGGAATCCAGGGCCTTTAATCTGCTGGCCCCAAGACTACTCTGCTCTTAATCCCTAATTTGAGCCAGTGAGTTCTATTTATGCATATTGACCTGACCTGAGACAGAGATAGCTAGGCATACCACTGTCTTGTATTGGTGCACCTTATGTAAAAAACCATTCCAGCAGAGAATCAGTGGAAAATCATTACCTGTTCTAGAAACACAGCTCAAAGTGTAGCGTTGGGTTCTGAATCTTTTTTGCTCCCAAAGGTCAGCATTGCAGAAACCACCCCTGAAACCCTACCTTGCTGCCAACATTTTTCAGAGTGACCCAACCAAGAGGCTCACCTCTAAAAAGCAGCTCAGTGATTCTTTGCAAACTTACTTTTTCAAAGTTTATCCATTTATTTCTTCAGAGAGGACGCGAGAGAGACAATTGCCTTCTATAGGATGTTGATGCCCTGATTCACCCCTAGCTTCAGCCAGCCCAGATCATGAGCATGCAAGTATGTACCTAGGTCATGCACAGGGACATCACAGGACATGAACCCAGGACCTCCTCTTATGGATCTGGCTTTGCAGAGTGTTGCATTACCCCTGTGCTTCTGTCTGACCCTGTGTTGCAAATCTGAAGTTGCAAATTGTTGCTAAGTCTGGAACAGGGAGACAGAGCAAATTAATGTATAATATGAAAAAATCAAGAGCCAGTGTTATTTGGATGCTCTCCAGGTATTTGGGGGGGGTGCTCTTTGTCTCTCAGTGGTTACATTGAAGTCGGACCCACTGCTGCTGAGACCATTCAGTTCCCCACTGCTGAGGGGCAGTATTCTTCACTCTGCCATTTAGTTCCTTTCATGGATTAAAATTTGTTAAGCCTTGGAACCAGCAGATGACATAGTGGTTACATCACTGGACTCCCACATAGTTGACCGAGGTTTGAGACTTGGACACAGCAGCTTAAAACTCACACCGGGCACATGTGTGTGTGTGCCCCAAATCCCAAGATGAGAATGGAGGAGAAGGGACTATGACATGACCATCCCCCTTGGGGGGGGGAGGGCGTGATTTCTCTTTTTCTGTCTCTCCTGTGACTGCATGTGCCCTATAGCAAAAATCTTTCAAAAAAAAAAAAGGGGGGGGGTTAAACTTCAGGGCCAGCGGGTGTCATAGTGGTTAAGGTGCTGGATGGTCACATGGTCAACTATGGTTTGAGTCCCAGACCTGGCTTCAAACTCAACTGGGTATGTATGCCCAAAATGCTAAGAGGAGAATAGAAGAGAAGGGATTGAGGGGTGTGTGGGGGGGTGATTTCTCACTTTCTGTGTCTCTGGTGAGTGCACGGGCCTTACAGCAAATATTTCTTTTAAAAATTTTCTTCGTTAAGCCTTCATCAATGTAGAAAGGACTTTGTCAGGTTTCAGGAGAAATATGAGGAAACAGGTTTGCCCTCCAGGAGTAATAAATGTTTATCTTGCTTCATTCTAAAATGAATAGGGCACGTCACACAGTTGTACAACATGTAAGATTAAAGCAGGAGTTATAAAGATATGAGGGCAGGCAGGGGAAAGAAAAAGAGATTTGGCTGAAGGTTAGGCTAGTATTTGCCAGAAAGTCCTATAGACTTTGCTATACGTAAGCCACAGTTTTTCTGAGCTTCCGGGCAGGTCATAGGAGGAAGGGAATATGATCCGGAACACAATTTTTAGACTCACTAGCCAATAGAAGACTCATTGCCTCTTTTCTCGCTCCTGGTCCATCTTGGTGGCTGCTCTTGGTTGGGGGCTGTCTCACACCTAGACTGGAAGATGGTGGTGGCAAATATGAAAAAGTCACTGGAGTCGATCAACTCTCGGCCCCAACTCATTGTGAAAAGGGGGAAGTACAAGCAGACTCTGATGATGATCAGACAAGGCAATGCGAAGTTAGTCATCCTCGCCAACAACTGCCTAGCTTTAGGGAAATCTGAAATTGAGTACTATGCCATGTGGGGCAAAACTGATGTCCGTCACTGCAGTGGAAATAATATGGAATTGGGCACAGCGTGGGGAAAATACTACAGAGTATGCACACTGGCTATCACTGCGCAGGTGATTCCGATATCATTAGAAGTATGCCAGAACAGACCGGCGAAAAGTAAACCATGCAACATTTTTCTTTAATAAAACTTGCCAGGGGACCAGCAGTTAGCGTAATGGCTATGTCACTGGACTCCCACGTAGTCGACTGTGGTTCACATCCTGGACCCGGTGGCTTAAAATTCATGCCAGGCGCGTGTGTGTGCATGCCTAAGATCCCTAGAGGAGAACCGAGGAGAAGGGATTGCGGCATGGCCATCCCCCCTGGGGGGTGATTTCTCGCTTTCTGTCTCTCTCTCTCTCTGTCTGTCTGGCGAACGCACGCACTGTATAGCAAAAACCTCTCCAAAAAAAAAAAAAAACTTGCCGGAACTTGTCTATTTAAAAAACAAACTCATTACCAAGAAGTATACCAGTTCTCAATACTGAGGGCAGAGAGAATTTTCTTCTCTCAATCCTTGTGGACATTATTGGCTAGCGAATCCATCATTTTCTTCATAGTATCTCTGAGGCACAGATCTCACAAACTACAGATTGTGACCATGGTGTGTAAGAAAGTTTTTTGTTGTTGTGCTGTGGTATAATTTAAAAAATGAATATCGGAGCTGGTGGTGTGCTGAGTGAGGCAGCTTGATCCCACGTGGCCGACTGCACAGTGTGAGTCTGGATCCAGTGGCTGTAAACACACCAGGCACACGTGTGTGCACCCAAAATCCGGAGAGCAGAATGGAGCAGGGACTGTAGGATGGCCATCCTCCCTGGTGGGTGCTTTTTCTCTTTCACTCTCTCTCTCTCTCTGTCTGTCTTTGGTGCGCTTACGTGTCTTAGAGAAAAAACAAAAATTGGTCTTTGTCCCCCATGTTTGTAACACAGAGCTCTTAACCCCCTGGGAATCTTTGGCATGTTAATGAGATGACTTTGGTGGGGGTTTTCAAGATGACTGGTCCCCAGAAAGACCAAGCCCTCATTAAAAGGTTGGAATTTTGAGTTTCCCCTCTGCTTCACCCTCATGTCCAGAGAAGGAGTGGGGGTGGGTGATGAGTTCAGTCACCAGTGGCCAAGGATTTCATCTATCATGCCTGTTCCATGGAACTTCCTTAAACACATCTAAATGATGGCTTGGGTCCGGGAGCTTCCAGGCTAGCGGATGCATTGCCATGCTGGGTGGCCCAGGGAGACACGGAAGCTCCTGCCTCTTCTCACCCCCTGCCTGGTCTTATGCATTTCTTTCATTTGGCCTAAACTGAGCTGCAGTCTTTTTTCTTTTTTTTTTAAGAATTATTTATTTTATTATTTTTTAATTATTATTGTTCAATCTGACTGGAGAAAGGGAGAGGGAGAAAGGAAGCCGCCAGGTATGGTACTCAAATCATAGTCGGCCATGTGGGAGTCCAGCGCCTTAACCACCGCTCCATCTTCTGGCCCTCCGTACTTGGTTCTCGCCAGCATTAATTTCTGTGCTGATTTCAAATCTGTAAAACAAGAGGGCATCTGTAAGGCCTTTGAGGAGGTGTCAAAACCTCTGCTTAAAAACTTGGGGAAAGTTTGTTCTTGTATATTGCTGAATAGTCTTCCATTCTTGGAATACGCCGTATGAATCGACTGTTTTTAACCAGTGGACAGTAGACATTTGGCTAGACTGTAGACATTTGACTTGTTTTCTATGAACGCTCACATACAGACGTGTCTTCATGTGTACTTTTTTTTTATTTTTTGAGAGAGAGGTTTTTGCTATAGGGCCCATGCGCTCACTGGAAAGAGAGAGAGAGACAGAGACAAGAAAGTGAGAAATCACTCCTCGGGGGGATGGCCACACCGAAGTCCCTTCTCCTCCATTGTCCTCTTGGGATTTGGGGCAGGCTTGTCCTCTTGTGATTTGGGGCAGGCACGCACACGCGCCCAGCGTGAGTTTTAAGCCATCGGGTCCGGGACTCTAACTGCGGTTGACTATGTGGGAGTCCAGCGATGTCACCACTACCTGTCATCTGCTAGTCCCTTCATGTGCACATTTTAATTTCTCTCATGTTGATTTCTTGGGATAGATTTGCTAGGTGGCATAGTAAGTTTATGTTTAAAATTTTTGGAAACTGCCGAACTGTGTTCGCGAGTGGCTCTCCTATTTAGTCGGCAGTATACGAGGGCTCCAGTTTCTCACGTACTCACTAACACTTGTAATTATCTGTCTTTTTTATTATAGCCAATGTAGTGGATGTGCATTGGTATCTCATTATGTATTTTTTATTTGTTTATTTAATGTTATTATTATTATTTTCAACTTGACTAGAGAGAGAGGGAAAGTGAGAAAGCAAACCACCAGGTCTGGAACTCAAACCATGGTCAGCCATGTGGGAATCCAACACCTTAACTACATCATGCCACTTGCCAGCCCCTCATTATGTTTGTTTTTTTTAAGAATTTTTTTATTTAACTTTACCTGTTTATTTTAACTTGACCAGAGAAGGACAAAGAGAGAGAGAGGCAGAGAGAGAAAGAAAGCAAGCTGCCAGGTCTGGGACTTGAACAGCAGTTGGCCATGTGGGAATCCAGTGCCCTTAACTTCTCTCCTTCCTCTCTTTAAACAGAGCAGCCACGAACCAGAAGGTGCGGGAGCAGGTGCGCCTGGAGCTGAGCTTCGTTAACTCGGACCTGCAGATGCTCAAGGAAGAGCTGGAGGGGCTCAACATCTCGGTGGGGGTGTATCAGGGCACAGAGTAAGTGGGCAGCACCTCTTCCAGGTGCTCTCTGGGCGCGAGAACTCACCTGCATCAGGGCTCGTACAGGACAGCTGCATGGGGGAGGGGGGGCAGAGATTGTGGGCTAAGAGTGTGGCAGCCCCCACTTGGCAAAGTGAGAGAATGACCAGGTTTGGGTTTGAGCAAGGTGCTAGAGTTAAAGGGATGAACCCATGGAGTTTGTTGGGAGATGCATGGAGTGCTGGACCAAAGGCGTTTGTCCTGGGGTCCCTGGGATGTGGTTTTACAGTAGAGCTGTGTGTCTGGGTCCTGGCAGGAGAGGACATTTCTCAGATAGGCAGGAGGTGAGGCTCTGCCCCATATTACCCAGGAAATGTCTTGTGGGTGGCGTTGGGAGCCGGCCTGCAAGGAGCTGGAGATGCCTTTCTTCTTCCCCCTTATTTGCTTCCTGTAAGCACAGAGCCTGACTCTGGGTCATTCTGTTCATAGAATGTTAAAATGGGACCAGCAGTTGGCATAATGGCTATGTCACTGGACTCCCATGTAATCAACCGTGGTTCGAGTCCCGGACCCAGTGGCTTAAACTCACGCTGGGCACGTGTGTGCGTGCATGCCCAAGATCCCAAGAGGAGAAAGGAGAATGAATTGTGGCATGGAGGGGGGTGGGGTGATTTCTCGCTTTCTGTCTCTCTCTGTCTTTCTGGCGAGTGCATGTGCCCTATAGCAAAAAACCTCTCCTCCCCCCAAAAAATAGTTAAAATGTATGAATTGCCTTGACAGGTGTTTGTTTGTTTGTTTGTTTGTTTTTAAGAACTGTTTTATTTAGCTTTATTTATTTACTTCAATTTCACCTGAGAGGGACACAATGAGAGAGAGGAGAGGGAGATAAGGTGAGAAAGCAAGCCACCTGGTCCAGGACTTGAACTGTGGTTGGCCATGTGGGAGTCCAGCATCCTTAACCACCACACCACCTACCAGCAGCCCCCCTTTTATTTAATATTCCAGAAGTCATTTGCACTCCCAGAGAGGGACAGCAAGGGAAAGTGAAAATACACCTCCCAAGGCGTACAGTCGTGCCATAATCCCATTTCTCCAGCTCCGCCTTCTTTCGGGAGTTTGGGCGTGCATGTATACTTATGGGGCATATTTTTCGAGCCACTGGGTCTAGGGCTTCAACTGCATGGTTAGCCATGTGGGACCCAGTTCTCTTAACCACCAGGCCATGGCTGGCCCTGGGATTTTTTTTTTTTTTCCCATCTGTGAATGAGAGAGGCAAAGACAGCACCCTCAACAAGGTCTCGATCCCGTAATCCACCCACAGCCACAGACAGCCCCAGGTCATGGGCACACATGTGCTCAGTGTACTCTGGATGTGAACCCAGCTGCCTCCCATACGGCTCGCCCTGTGGGGCACTGCACCCCACCACTATGCCACCATCTAACCGCAGGGATCTTTTATGTCCGAGATTAGGGGACCCATGTGAGTTCTTTAAGTGGGTGGTGCAAATGAGACAGTTCAGAAGTATACCTCATTAAATACTTGAGGAAGCAATATTCTAATTCAGAAATATTCCTTAGAGAGTATGTGTGAGAGGTAGAACTTTTTTTTTAACTTTTAAAACAGATTTATTTAATTTTATTTGTTATTATTATTATGTTTTAATTTGACCAGAGAGAGACAGAGAGCAAGAGAGAGGTACAGTGAGAAAGCAAGTCACCAGGTCCAGAACTTGAACCACAGTCAGCCATGTGGGAGTCCAGTGCTCCAACCACCATGCCACTTTCGAGTCCCATGTTATTATTATTTTTAATTTGACTAGAGACAGAGAAAGAAACAGAGAAAGTGAGAAAGTAAGCTGTCTGTAGTCGACCACGTGGGAGTCCAGAGTCCAGAATCTCAACCACCATGCCACCTGTCAGCTGGGAGGTGGAATACTGACATGCAGTCTTCAGCAATGCTCAGAAAGTCTCCCACAAATGAACTGCCTTTAAAGACGTGCCCTTTTTTTTTTTAAAGAGACATTTTCCTATAGGGTGCATGCTCTCACCAGAGAGACAGAAAGCAAGAAATCACACCTTGGGAGGGATGACCACACTGCAATCTCTTTTCCTCCATTCTCCTCTCCGCATTGATTTTGGGCACGCATGCACACACGCCCAGCATGAATTTTAAGCCATCGAGTCTGGAACCCAAACTATGTTCGACTACTGGGAAACCAAGTGACGTAACCATTACACCATCTGCTGATCCCAGACATACTCATCTTTAAGAAGCCAAAACTTGGGAACCAGCAGTTAGCATAATGGCTATGTCTCTGGACTCCCATGTAGTCGACCACGGTTCTCGTCCTCGACCCGGTGGCTTAAAACTCACGCTGCGTGTGCATGCATGCCCAAGATCCCGAGAGGAGAATGGAGGAAAAGGGATTGGGGCGTAACCATCCCCCCTGGGGGGTGATTTCTCACTTTCTGTCTCTATGTCTCTCTCTGTCTGGTGAGCGCACGCGCCCTATAGCGAAAATCTCTCCAAAAAAAACCCAAAAACACAAACAAAGAAGCCAAAACTTCAAGAAATTCCCAAGAAGCATTTGCATACTTTTCATGGGAGTTGAGTTAAATTTCTCACGTAGTAGGTGAGCCCCAGGGGCAACTCAGTCAGAAAACATTTCCATGATTAATAGAAGGAAGACATTAGGGAGCTTTGAGTCACCTATGGAATGCGTTTCCTGATCAGAATCCTCCGCGTGGTCCGGGGGCTGTTTTTCCCTAGCCAGAGGGAAAGCATTAATGTGTGGTGTCTCCCTGGCTCTTCTGTGACGTTCTGTGCCTGGCTCGCTCACCTCTGGGCCCCCACTGCAGTCCGAGCATCTGGTCAGAGCAGCAACAAACAGAAGGTTCCCCAGCCTGTGCCCTGGTGTGAAATTCCAATGTATTCCCCAAAAGGACCAGTTCCTCAGAGGTGAGGCCAAGATGAGGCCAGGCCAAACGTGGGTAATAAACACAGACTGTTCCGTATGTGCACTTGCTGTGTTAAACACAGGAGGGTCATCACAGGAGCTTTCTGCAGTGAAGGCCCCTGTGTGGTCACTGATTCAAATGTCCCTGTGCCATTGGGAAGAGGACAAGACATGCAGATTCCAAATGACACCTTACATTTGCATCCTTGACTCTTCCTGTTTTCAAAATAGATTTTCTTTCTTTCTTTTTTCATTTTTCGATTTTAGGTTTTTGCCATAGGACATGTATACTCCCTGAAGAGAGTCAGAGAGAGAGGGAAAGTGAGAAATCATCCCCCAGGTGGATGGCCGTGACACAATCCCTTCTCTATTCTTCTTGGGATTTTGGGCACGCGTGCACTCATGCCCAGGGTGTTTCAAGCCACTGGGTCCAGGACTCAAACTGTGATCAACCATGTAGAGTCCAACTCTTTAACCAAAGCAATATGCCACCTACTGGCCCTCCATCTTTCTTTTTAAAAAAGATTTATTTCTTCCATGAGAGAGAGGGGAGGGAAAAGGAGAGAAAGAGAGAGGTGCTCCCTACAAGGTCCCCAGGCTGCATTCTACCCCCAGCCTCAGCCGGCCCACGTTAAAGACATATATGCACCTGGTGTAGTCAGGGAGGTCTCAGGATGAAAACTCAGGCCTTGGACCAGCAGTTAGCATAATGGCTATGTCGCTGGACTCCCATGTAGTCGACTGCAGTTCGCGTCCTGGACCCAGTGGCTTTAAACTCATGCCAGGCACGTGTACGTGTGTGCCCAAGATCCCAAGAGGAGAATGGAAGAGAAAGGATTGCGGCATGGCCATCCCCCCGGGGGGTGATTTCTTGCTTTCTCTCTCTCTGTCTCTCTGGTGAGCACCCTATAGCAAAAACCTCTCAATAAATAAATAATTAAAGAAAAGGAAAACAAAACCCAGGACTTTCCCAGGTGGGTTCAGTTTTGCCACTGCTGCGCCCATACCTGACCCCAGTCATTCTTCTTAGCACAGTTGATCTTTTTTTTTTTTTCAAAGAATTATTTTATTTAACTTTATTTATTTATTCTAATTTGACCAGAGAGGGACAGAGCAAGAGAAAGAGAGAGAACGTGAACCGCCAGGTTCGGGACTCAAACCAAGTTCGGCCATGTGGGAGTCTAGCACCCTTAACCACCATGCCATCTGCTGGCCCCCCAATCTCTCTCTCTCTCTCTTTTTTTTTTTTAAGTTTATTTCTTCTGTAAGTGAGAGAGACAGAGACAGGCACCCTCAACGGGGTCTTCCCTCCCTGTTCACCCCAGCTTCAGCTATCCTGGTGTCGTGGACATGTGTGTGCCCAGCATGTGTAGGGAGGTCTCTGGCCATGAGCCTGGAACCTTCCCATGTGGGTTGGCCTTGCAGCGTGCCACTGTCCTAACTCAGCACAGTGGACCTCTAAACTTCTGTGAGTTCGACAGAGTAAAAGGGTCTCCTTGTGCAGACAAGAAAACTCAGGGAGGCCCGAGGTCACGAGGTCACAGAACGTGTCCCAGTACCATGGCACCAGGACCGGGAACGCTGGTGCGGGGAGGGCCTCACGCTCACCGCTCCTCTTGTTGTCTGGACAGTCCCAGAAGAGCAAGCCTTGCCTCTATTCACAGCTGGGGTGCTGGGGCGAGGCTAGGAGGTGCTGGGGCCCTGGCTAACCTCATCTCTCCCACCAGGACCCACTTTCTCCTCTGGGGCTTCGAGGTTGGGTCTCACCTCCTCTTAGCACAGGTGCCCCACAGAGGCAGTTTCAGCTTACAGAGGCATTGTCCACTCACCCTGCCCTGCATTCCTGGCCTCTTCTCTGGGCTGGGCTGGGCTGGGCACCCCAAGGAGGTCTCTTGTTACAGGTCAGGGAGCTAAATCCCTATTTGCAAAACAAGGCCTGAACCTGCTTCACTTCCTGCTGGCCCTGCCCCCAGGAATGTAGGTTTAGGGAGCCCTCCTAGGGTTCCCTAGTGGTCCCTGAAGAAAGAGGAGGTGGAGGGAAGTGGTCCCAGACTCTGTCCCTGGGCTGGGATTAAGGCGCGCTTGGTGTCAGATGGAGCCCCTGCCCTCAAAGTGTTCCCTGTGCAGGTGATGGGACACCTAGAGTGATGTGCCCCACAGGGGCATGAGGCTAAGAGCCAGGGTTGGAGTGTGGAGGTGTTGGAGGGCTGCCAGAGTTGGGGACCCACTGCAGCGAGGAGAGAATAGGGTGGGAAGAAGACTAGGGGCTGGGGGCTGATGGAGTACCCCTGTGGCAGGGACTATACCCAGCACAGTTGCTAAAGGAAGCTTGAGATTGGACAGCCACACCAGTTCGGTGCAGGCAGGGAGTTCATGTGTCAGGCTGAGTGGTCCAGAAGCCAGGGGCAGCTGGGATGGTTTTAGAACAGAGGGAGGGGGAATTGACAGATGGTGTAATTGTTGCTGGATTCCCATGTAGTCAACCATGGTTCAAGTCCTGGACCTGGTGGCTTAAAACTCATGCTGGACATGTGTGCATGTGTGCCCAAAATCCTGAGAGGGCAATGAAGAAGAAAGGATTGTGATATGGCCATCCCCCCCCCAGGGGGTGATTCCTCCATTTCTTTCTCTCTGGTGATAAATGAATGAATACATAAACAGATAAAGAAAATAACAGAGGGAGGGGCATGACCAGCATCTTCTTTATGAATAAAGGAACCCATCAGTGGGGTGTGTGCTGGGTTGGTTTAAGGACAGGCTGGGGACCTGAGTGAGTTTCTGGGGACAAGTCATGGGGTGCAAAGTGGCTGGACTGGGATGTTCATGTATCTTCTTGTGTTTCTCACAGAGAGGCGTTTACGATTCCCCTGATTCCTCTTGGACTGAAGGAAACCAAAGACGTTGACTTTTCAATCAGTCTCAAGGTAAATCCCAAAGTGGCGGGCCCCAGATCGAGTGTTTAAAATGGAAAGAGAGAACTGCATATCTCTCCTGGTGGCTTTAGGCTCAATGCGCCAAGTGTCAACTGATGCCTGCAAGGTGACCCTGAGCCCTCCCGCCCCCCATCCACCTCTGCAGAAAATCTGTGCACTCCTCCCATATTCTTACTCTCATTTTTGGTTACTTCCCTTTTTTTCCCACCCCTCCCCCCCAGTGGGGATGACCACACCACAATTCCATCTCCTCCGTTCTCCTGGGATTCTGGGCTTATATGCACAGGCACCCAGTGTGAGTTTCAAGCTGCTGGGTCTGGGACTCTAACTGTAAGTGGCCATGTGGGAGTCCAGCACCATAACCGTTACACCACTTGCTGGCCCCATCTTTGGTTACTTCTGAAGCTCCTCTTGGGTACCTGGAGAAGGTTGGTTGGAGGCCCAGACCAGGTCAAGTCAAAGAGTATCTATGGGTGAATGTGCTTTGGAATGTAAAAATCACATAGTATCTTTTCACTTAAATTATGTAACTGGTTGAGGCCCTACTTTTTTTTTTTTTTTTTAAGAGAGATTTTTGCAGGACCAGCAGTTAGTGTAATGGCTATGTTACTGGACTCCCATGTAGTCAACTGTGGTTGACTACATGGTCCAAGTCCCAGACCCAGTGGCTTAAACTCACGCTGGGCACGTGTGTGTGTGTGTATCCACAATCCTGAGAGGAGGATGGAGGAGAAGGGATTGCGGCATGGCCATCCCATCCCCCCTGGGAGGGGGGTGATTTCTTGCTTTCTGACTCTCTGTCTCTCTGTCTTTCTGGCGAGCGCACACGCCCTATAGCAAAAACCTCTCAAAGAAAGAAAGAAAGAAAGAAAGAAAAAGGAGAGGTTTTTTGCAATAGGGCATGTGTACTTGCCAGAGAGACAGAAAGCAAGAAATCACCCCCCCAGAGAGGATGGTGACTCCGCAATCCCTTCACCTCCATTCTCCTCCTAGGATTTTGGGCACACATGCACATGTACCCATCGTGGGTTTTAAGTCGCTGGGTCTGGGACTTGGACCATGGTTGACTTAAGTCGCTGGATCTGGGACTTGGACCATGGTTGACTACATGGGAGTCTAACGACATAACCATTATGCCACCTGCTGATCTCTAGGCCCTATTTTTGGAAGAATAGCTACAGTGTTTTTCTCCCCAATATCTTATTATGAAAATTGAAAAATTTATTGAAAAACTCTAAGAATTTTATAAGGAACCCCTTTATATTTACTACCTGGATTAACATGTTGCCATGGTTGTCGTGTGTTGGTCCATCTTGGCATCCTGGTGCTTATTTGTTTGTTTGTTTTGTTTTGTTTTGTTTTGCTATTGGATGCATGCACTGGTCATACAGAGACAGAGAGAGGGAGAGGGAGAATGAGAAACCACCCCTGCAAACCACCAGGCCTGCGACTTAAACCATGGAGTCAGCCCTGTGGGATCTAATGCCTTTACCTCCATGCCATCTGCTGGCCTTCCTGTGTCTATTAATCCATCTTAATTATTGTTTTAAAATAATTATTTTATTTAACTTTATGTATTTATTTATTTATTTTTAATTTGATCAGAGAGGGACAGAGTGAGAGAGCGCGAGAGAGAAAAAGTGAGAAAGCAAGCCGCCAGGTCTGGAACTTGAACTGCTACCAGCCATGTGGGAGTCCAGTGACCTTAACCACCATGCCACCTGCTGGCCCTAATCCAGTGCATTACAGTCTTATATTATAATGCATTTCTTTCTTTTTAGAATTATTTTATTTTATTTATCATCATTATTATGTCTCAATTCACCAGAGAGAGAGAGAGAGAGTGGAAAAGGGAGAAAGCAAGCCGCCAGATCTCAACTTGAACCCTGGTCGGCCTTGTGGGAGTCCAACGTCTTAACCTCCATATCACCTGCTGGCCCCTGTAATGCATTTCAAAGCCAATCAAAGATATCAATTTACTAAATACTTGAATAACCAGTGTTTGATTCCCCCACCCCCATCTGTTAATAATTCCCAAGTATCTGGGCCCCTCTCTCACTTAGCAGATTCTTACAGGCTCTCGTGCGCCTGGCACTGTGCTGGGTCCTGGAGAGGCTGCAAATCCTGCCTTCCGAGCCCAAGGGTCAGGGGATGATTCCTGGGAAAGGGGTCCATCAGGTGCTGTGATGGGAACACGCAGGAGAGACTGCCCCAGGCTGGAGCCAGGAGACCCTCCATACCTGGAACACCCTCCTCTCCCTCCTCTCCCCTGATCCATGCGTTTGAATTTGAACGAATCACCTCCAACTTCAGTTGAGGAGGAAAGAGGGGGAAAGTGGTGTCTGCCCCTGAGCATGGGCACAGGTTACAGGAAAGAAGCCCAGAGAAAGGACCATGAGAAAAGCTACAAGGAATTCTCTTTCTTTCCCTGGTAATCCTGAGAGTTCGCTCATTTTGGACTACTTTTAGTTAAGAAAGGGAAAAAAAAATTATCATGTATTTTTTTAAAGTTTATTCCTGGGCTGACCCCATGGACTGGAGGTTAAGGAGCCAGATTCCCACAGAGTTGACTGCAGTTCTTTTGAATCCTGGCCCTGGCAGCTTGAAAAACACTCCAGCCCCTGTGTATGCCCCAGATCCCAGCAGGATGGGAAATGGAGGGGAAGGGCTTGTGGTATGACTACGCTCCATGGGGGATGCTTTCTCCCCCACTCAGTATCTCTCTCTCTCTGGCAAGTATGTGTGCCTTCTGGCCCAAAAGAAAAACAAAAAGTAAAGCTTATTTCTTCTTTTCTTCCATTTCTTCCACGTGAGTCACAGACAGGTATCACTAATAGCCAGCCAGGTTCTGGGTATCGTGATCTGTGCTCAGGACCCGAAATTCAAACCCAGCACCTCTCCCCCATGGGTCCAGTTGTGTCATGTCATTTTCTTTTTTTAAAAAAGTTTATCCCTTTTAATGAGAGAGACAGAGACAGAGAGAGAGTGAAGCACCCAGTTAGGGTCCCCACACTGTGATCTACCCCTAGCCACCCTCGGATCATGGCCATGGGTGCCTGGCATGTTCGGGGAGGTCTCTGGTTGTGAACCCAGAACCCTCCCATGTGGGTCAGCCTAACTGAGCACTGTGTTTCCACTGCACACTCTCTGGGCCCTCAGAACGCCAAAATGGCCATTGTAAAATTTATCCTTTTAAAAGCAGTAGGTGAGGCTAGTAGGCGGCATAGTGCCTAAGGTCCTGAACTGCCACACGGCCGACTGGGATTGGAGTTCTGTACTTGACGGCTTGAAATTCACACCAGGTGTGTGTGCACATGTGCCCAAAATCCTGAGAGGAGAACGGACGAGAAGAGATTGCGGCGTGGCCATCCCCACTGGAGGGTGATTTCTCGCTTTCTGTCTCTGTCTCTCTGTCTTTCTGGTGAGTGCACGTGTCCTATAGCAAAAACCTCTCCAAAAAAATCTGCTTTCGGATAAACTGCTGGTCCCCCTGAAAGTTGATTTTTCAAGTCAGAAGCAGCAGTTTGATGCGAGTGGCTCACAGGCGGCCTGAATTTTCAGAGGTGACTCGCCACCTGTCTGTGGGACTTGAAACAATCCATATGCCTGTGGAAGTGTCTTCAGCTGCTTCTGCAGCATGCATAGTTGCTTTAAGATTTAATTAGTGTGTGGCTCAGTGCCAGGGCTTCAAGAATGCACGCATTTTAGAGGGAGGCTGTCTCGGAAAAACTTAGGAATTTCATGGGCATCAGTAGAAATCCAGATATGTCACGGGCTGAGTTCCACATTAAACCAAATTAAAAATCACGTGGGCCTGGCCAACCGCTGTTCAGCTGAGGCCTCCAACCGTGTCATTTTAGCCCAGAAGGGACTCTGTTGTTGTCAGTCACACAGAAATGAGAACGTCTGAGGGGCTTTGTATTCTCTCCCTTCCACCTGAGAACAAACACAGTCAGGCACTATGGAAGTGACTCGGATCTGACGTGTATGCTGTGTGATGTTTTATGGTCAGTAAATTACACGATTTTATTTTGAAGAAACGGGCTTTAAAAATGGCTGCATTAAAAAGCACCATTCAGCTGGCCCTGTAGCCTAGTGGTTAAGGAGACTGAGTCCCACATGGCCTACCTCAGTTCTAATTCCTACTCTCATGACTTGAAAAACACACTGTGTGTGTGTGTGTGTGTGTGTGTGTGTGTCAAAGTCCTGACAGGAGGGAGAAATGGAATTATGGTGTGACCATTCCCCAGAGAGGGTGCTTTCTCTCTTTGTCTCTTTCTCTGTCTCTAGCAAGCATATTTATACACCCTCTGGCACATATAAAGAAAACAACACCACCAAAAAAAAAACCAAGAGGGACCATCTGGTGGTGTGGTGATTCAGGTGGTTGGATCCCACATGACCGACGGCCATGTGCAAGTCCCAGACCCAGTGGCTTGTAAATATGCCGGTGCATATGCAAGCACGCCCAAAATCCTGAAAGGAGAAATGGAGGGAGAGGGGATTGTGGAGTGGCCATGCCCCCGGGAGGGTGCTTTCTCATTTTTCCTCTCTCTGTCTCTCCAGCAAGGGCATATACACACTATAGCAAAATTAATGAATTAATTAGAAAGTATTTTTGGCATTACATTTTTCATCTATCTGGAATTTGTTTTGAGGTGAAAAGTAAGGTGTAGCACTCTAACTTTATTTTTGTCAGGCGGCTAGCTGGTTTTCCCTGAAATCTGTATTCAGAACCCACCTGCCGTCCTTGCCGGCTGGTGTCCACTCCTCATTTCACCCCTCTTCTTCCTTCCTCCTTCCTGCTATGGGCCAGGGAGACATCTGTCTCAGGGGCCGCTCTTACGCTCAGGTTTCTGAGTCATTACAGGAAGGCAAAACACAGACAAGAGACCCCATTTTTCCTGTGTCCTCACTGTACAGTCAACACGAAAGACCTCTCTGACCGAATGCTTAGAGATTCCTCCCCACCCGCCAGCCCTCAGCTCTGT